TCATCTGAAAGAGGCGTCTCGCCTTGTGGACCAGGGTTCCAGGCAATGCAATGCACAACCCAGGATTTGTTCATGGCTCTTCACATACAAATAAAGTCCCCACTGCCTCGGCCTACAACTTCGTATCTTTAAGGCTGGGAACATAATGAAATCTTTATCCAAAATTAACCGTCAACAAATGGGAAAATCGCATCACACCTACTTCATGCACCACTTCATAGCGACATGGGAATCATGCAAAGGACATTCGTTTGAAGAGCTCAAAGCCAACATGATCGTTAACCAACTCGATGACCAACTGTGTCCACATCCTTGTTGGGTTACCATTAACATTTTTAGTGTTATTTTTACTATGCCAGTGTTACTATATTTCCCCTCAAAATAACGTGTTTTTCCAGCAACCGGGCACAGTAATCCTGAAGCACAGGTAGTTTACCAAGATGCTGAGATTTAAATTCATAAAGAAATTCGAGGGGAGGAAATTCTGGGGAGAGAAGCAGGAGACAAGCGCTTTGGGCTTCATCGCTTTCTAAAGCAGTGCTTCTCAGATTGTGATGAAGAATTTCTAGTTATATTCAAAATGTAAGTTTAAAAAAATATTTTTTATCGATTTTTTTTTTTTTTAGAAAGTGAGGAAGGGAGAGGGGATGAGAGAGAGGAAAAAAACCACACATAAATGTGAGAGGGAACATCTATAGGCTGCCTCCTGCACACCCCCTACTGGGAATGGAGCCGGCAACTGGGCATGTGCCCTTGACCTGGAATTGAACCAGAAACTTTTCGGAGCCCAGGAGGAAGCCCAACCAAGCAACCGAGTCACACCAGTCAGAGCTCAACCCCACTGTTCAGTTCTTGGGTTCCACAGACATAAAGTCACTCTGTCACCGGCTCCCGAAGTTCCTAAATGCCTCCTCTCCACTCCTACCCCTCATCACAGACCAGTCACCGTCGGCCCGGCCGCCATCCACAGACCACAGACCACAGACCACACCTGGGTGGCCCTGGCCAAACGCGTCATTCCCTTTTCAGGACTGGAATTCTTATTTTATAGACGTTAAATCTCTGAAATGCAACAGGGTCCACCCCGACCTCTACCCAGAGCTCTGAAAAGCAAACTGGGGGCACTGCGCTTCCACCGCCCGGTAGCAGAAGGCACTGGACAGTGGTGAGCACGGGCTTGAGGCGTAGGCGCTGACCCTGCCCCCACACCCTGTGCGGAAGGACCCCCTGTTCTTCAGCATCAGACCACAGCCGCTGAAGGATTCTGGTTTGGGCTCCAGCAACGGATCCAGATTCACCCGCATCCAAAGCTGCCGCACACGGCGCTGCTTCAGCCGGGACAGAAAGCCCTGGACGCGCTCAGGCTGCCGTCATATCCTGTGGACCTAGGGGGTCCAAGGAGGCATCCTGGTTCTGTCTCTTGACCGTAAGCAAGACACTGCATCTTCTGCTTAGGCCCCATCAGGGACAGGGGTGGGTTAGAATGCTGCCTCACTCTCTGGGAGTGACATAGCCCAGAGGGATTGACAAGAACGCTAGGGCAGGGGGCGAGGGGGAATGAATGTACATGTGTGTGTGTGTGTGTGTGTGTGTGTGTGTGTTATACAGGGCGGGGCAAATGTAGGTTTACAGTTGTTCATAAGTAAAATAATACAACCATCTATAATAATAAAAGCGTAATATGCTAATTAGTCCAGATGGCCGAACAGCAGAGCGACCTTCCGGACAAAACAGGGCTGCGAGGGCCGAGCCCCCTGCACGAATTTCGAGCATCAGGGCTCTAGTTAATAAATAATAATTCAAGAATAAACTCTGTGTTTTGCATACTCACAACTGTTACCCTACTTGTGCTCCACTCCCTACATGTATGTACCTATATGAAGAATTATTCTTCCTCACACGGTACTTCCCCGACCCCTGCAACTATATATACACTGTAAACCCTTTAAACAATCTATGGGCTTTTAACGCCTTACGCCACGAAGGCCCAAGTGCTATCAGCATCCCCCTCGATGAAACGACGATCCAGGCCGCCCTGGGGAAGTGTCCAGCTCTGCGCACACTCACACCACAGCCACTGGGCTTCTGAAACCGCGAGTCCCATCTCAGTTCACCGCTAACTCCCTGCAGGGCCTCCCAGCCGCCACCTCGGCCCAGCCGCCCTGGGTTCACGCAGTGTCCCCACTCGCCCCTGGCTGTACAAGCAAGTCTCGGGACCAGCCTGCCAGCCATCTGCCCTTCCATCCGCTGATGCTCGCTTGCCTGTTTGTGAGTCCTCCCGGGTGACCCTGAAAGCTGGCCCCCAGCACGCATTTGTCCTGCCCTCGGATGTTCCCAGGGATCTCAGTCCGACAGCCATGCCCCGGCGCCGGAGATGCTGCGGGTTGTCCGGCGGCAAGAAGTACCTGTTCTCCCTAAACACTCCCATCGGAGCCTCAACCCCTCACTTCTCCTGCTCCAAATCCTCCTCCGGGGTTTGTCAGTCAACACACTGGGGGAAAAAAAACTGTGGGTGAACTCTGACCTGATGGCTCTTCCCATTCAAAGAACTTGAGGTGAGGAGGGGCGCTGGAGATCCCCGCCCAGCTGAGCACGGCCTATTCTCTCCAGCAGCGAGGCCAGGTCGCCCTCCAATGCAAGCTTGACCTCCCCCAGGGACGGGGACCTCGCTCTCTCCTGGACAGTTTGCCTGGTGAGCGAGTTCGCCTGCGTGCTGACCTGGGAGCTATCTCCCTGCCATCACTAGGTGTTACTCAGCCTTCGCCCACACGGTCGGGTGACCTATGGAACCAACCACATCTCTCTGGCATGCTGGCCCCGGGGCAGCTGAGGACCCTTCTCCGGACGGAGCCTACAGGAGGCAGCTTCCAGGTTCCTCAACACTCCAGTCACCTCCCCTCTGGACTGCTCCGATGGCCTGCCCAGGTCCTGGGGTCCTCTGTGCTGTGGCGTTTCCTCATACTCTGTTCCATCTCTCTATTCCCTCCGTAAATGGCACGGACATGGCCTCCCAATGAGCCCGTCCAAAGGTCCCAACAACCAGGAATCCATGTCCACCCAGAGCCAGCATGATGGCCCCGTGGATGGTGGCTGCACATACATGTTTCCTGTTACTCCCCATGCATTCAAGTTGGCCCGATTGCTCATAGGACAATAAACATAGCACCACAGTATAATTGGGACCTCAAAGCCAATCTTCCACAAGCCCACGTGCTGCCTGACCTGCATGTTAACCCCAGGTATCAGCCCTCTGACCCTCCTCTCGCAACCTGAGCCCCTTTCTCACGTCTGTGCTTTCGATGCTACCATTCATGAGGGTAACGGGAAAAGCCATCCAACATTCCCCTACTGACATGCTAGCTAGGTCCATTCTGAATTAACATCTGCATAGTCCTTTGTACCACACTCATCGCAATCTTCAGAGCAGCCCTAGGGGTGGGTGTGCTCCTCGCTTTACACAGGAGGAAACTGAGGCAGACCTGGAACTGAGGACCCCTGGAACCCAAGGGTCATCTGATTTCCTATTTATTTCAATGTCGGGAGCTTAGCAATCTGAGGCAGGACAAGTTTTCTAAGGTTAAGTTCCAAGAACCAAATAAAGAATGAGCTGCAGAGGGGGAAAAAATAGCAGAGGATTCGGATTTTGTCTCGGGCTTTGCTGCGAATGAACCCCCAGGTTCACCCAGCGGGTCCCCAGTTTACTCATTCATAAGATCGAGGGACTGAGGTCAGACTCCCAGCTGTCCCCCGTCTGTGGCCCTGTCTCCACCAAGTTGCTAAATTAGGCAGAGAAGATGGCTGAAATGCCTTTCTCTTTTGTTCCTCATGTTTTCAGTTTCTAAGATTAGCTGGGCGGTATTTGGTGACTACCAGCGGGTCCCTCAAGCAGGAAGAAAACTGCCATCTCTACAATGTTCATGCTTGAGCAGCTCCTTCTGTGATAAGAAGATAAATCTGGACACGCCAGCCACAGGACTGCACCACAAAGGCCCTCACCCCACGCAATAGCACCCTTACAGCCACGTGTTCTCAGAACCGCGGTTCTCTGCACCCAGGGGACGTGAGCGATGGGGAAGGTGCCATAGGGATGCAGTGAGCGGAGGCCAGGAGCTGCTACTCACCCTCCGATGCACAGGACGGTCCCCACAACCCAGAAGGATCTGGCCCAAGATGCCCACAGTGCTGAGGCGGAGAGTCCTGTCCTAAAGAGTGAGGTCAGAGAATGGCCCCAAACTCTCCCTAGTGTTTTATTTTCAACTAGAGGCCGGGTGCACAGACTCATGCACTGGTGGGATCCCTCAGCCTGGCCTGCACCCTCTCGCAATCCGGGGCCCCTTGGGGGTTGTCGAACTGCCAGTTTCAGCCATGGGATGTAGCAGTGTGGGAAGTGGCAGGCGACCAGGGAGGAGCCCGAGCTGGGGCCAGGCATCGCTACCCCACATCCCAGCCCCTCTGCACCTGCTGCCGCCGCTCGGTAGCACTGCCATGGAGGTGCGAGAGGCTCGTGCCACCGCAGCTGTGCTCACCAGCCATGAGCCCAGCTGCTGGTTGAGCGACGCTCCCACTGTGGGAGCACACTGACCACCAGGGGGCAGCTCCTGCTTTGAGTGCCTGCCCCCTGGTGGTCAGTGCATATCATAGCGACCGGTCAACCGGTTGTTTGATCATTCGGTCGCTTAGGCTTTTATATATAGATATTTTTTATGATTTTTAGAGAGAGAGGAAGGGAGAAAGAGAGCAAGTGAAACATTGATGTGAGAGTAAAACATCAGATTATCTGATTGGCTGCCTCATGCACGGCCCCTCCATGAGATCAAGCCCACAACCCCAGTTTATGCCCTGACTAGGACTCAAACAGTGACCTTTCAGGGCACGAGACACCCAACCTACTGAGCCACACCAGCCAGGACACTTCCTAGCGTTTTGTCGGAATTGGCCCACATGAGAGGCTAACCAGACGGCTGATCTGAGAGAACCGAGGCTCTGAAAACCTCTCTTACCTTGCGAAGAAGGACGCGGCCACGGAGGTGCCCGTGGAGGTCTCAGTGGCCACGCAGGAGCCCTGCGAGGCCGGGACGCCGGAGGAGGACGGCTTGTCTGCATTGTAGCGATTTAGCGCCGCTTCGGACAGGCCCTCCCGGCCCGTCTCTGTCATTAGCTGGGAGATCTGAGGAGGAAACAGACACAGAGCTCATTACTGGGGCTCGCCACGTGCACTGACCACCACTGACAGCGTCGGGGGGGAGGGAAAGGAGCACATCCCCCCGTCACACAGCATACACGGTGCTCAGGTCCCCTCCAAGGCCATTTCTCAGCATTTCAGCCAGGATGCCTCCTCACTTGCGTTCAAAATAATGGAATAAAATCACCCACTGACATTGTAAGTTTCCATTATGTCTGTCTCCCCTGCATTTGGAGGGGAGAGCATGAACCATTATCCGCACTGTTTGCAGCCGAACACTAGGCCGGTGCCATCAACCAGCGCCGGCTAGTGTCTTACCAGGAGTGGCCCCAAATGCTCTCCAACAGACGAGGGGGGCAAAGGCATCATTTTGTTAAGGGAGATGTGAGCCTGCTAATGCCGGGCATAAGGAATTAAAGCATCACTTGTTGTTTGCTGTAGGCAGTCGGCACGCAGATGACTTCAAAAAGCTCATAAAAATAGACAGAGTCGCCATGAATTTCAGGGGGGCTCACGGGGAGGGTGAGATCATTTCAATTTTCCTCCTGCATCATTAAGATAAATGGCTCCCGTTTTATTTGCAATCACTGCCTTCATCACAGAAGTTCTAGCTGCTGGGGCTGGGTCCGTGTTGCCTAAATCCACATCATACACCATGAAGAGCTGTACTTCTGGGCACAAAGAGACACTTGTGTAGAAATCTACTCCAGGAAAGCGCTTAATCCCGTGACAAATGGAATAATAATGCAGGCAAGTCTAGTGTGCTATTTCGAAAACCTGTGACATTAAAACTTTGGTCTATTTGTAAAAACCAAAAATTGTTTTAAAAAGGGGAAACTTTAGTTCAAAAAAAAAAAGTGTCTCCAGACAGCCCTGGCCGGTCGCTCAGTGGTTAGAGCATCAGCCTGTGGACCAAAGAGTTGGGAGTTAGATTCCAGGTCAAGGGCACATACCTTGGTTGCAGGTTCCCCAGCCCTGGTTGAGCTGCATTCAGGAGGTAGCCAATC